TCCATAAAGAGCAAAGTGAGTCAACATTTTAGTTCATGTCTTCTTCATCTGATGACATGATGGACTTATAGCCTGATGGATGTGTGCAGCAGGTGGTCACTCTCACAGGAAGGTGCAAAGCCCAATGGGATATCTAAAAATATGAGTGAAAATAAAAGCATCCTAGGGGTCAGTAGAGTGGTGTTAAGTTGCCAATGAGGTGAGGCGAAGGGGGACGGGGACACACATTCCATTCCTGAAATGAGGTGAAATGACGCAATGGGTTTGAACTATGTTTTGCTCTGAGAAAATGTTCAATCCATCAAGTGTCAGCAGGGTGTGTGAGGGTGGATGCCTGTGCACGTTCATCCATGAACAATGATAAGTGTGCTTAGGTTGGTGGGGGATACTTGGTTGGACAGGATCACAAGGTGAATGCCAGAATGAATCTCTGATCTTTTGGTACAAATAAGAACAGAAAGTTATTGTTGAGCAATGTGCACTCATTTTCATCAAGTGCAGAGAGGTTAACTACACACAGATTCACCTCTGTAGTAACCCCTTTATGGAAGGATGCACACAGCTAGGCTCGTAATTAGCCTGTTTGGACAAATGAACATTCAGGGTTGTGTTCCTGTTTACTTGCAAAAGCCCCCGAGACCAATTAGAGCAGTGTTCTCTCACAGTAATCCAGCCTCTGACTTTTACCTCAGGGGACTCATCTATATTCCTGACCGGTCAATATATGTTAACCTCTTCTCTTTGGTTAATAGTCAGTGAAAAATTATTAACTTACAACTGCTAACGCAACCAGTACGTAAACAAACTGTAGCACTGAGACCTTCAGGTGACAAGTAAAACGTTTTCTCATGTAATATAGCTGGGAAAGAGCAGGAAATAACTTTAAATGTCCTTAATGTGGACATAAGGAGGAAATAGCACATTTTTGATGATGTTGCTGGGGAAAGAATAATTAATGTGCCTTATCTTATTCAATGAAGGATATTACTTTCCCTAACAGACAGCACTGAGGCGATAGCATGCTTTTTCTGTGCGCTGCAGCTACCACGGATACGGCAAACACAGCAGTGAAATATATCACAGTCACCCCTTTGGCTGCATTTCAGAATTAATGTAACATGGTCAATTGGCAAAAAATGCCATCCACTTTTTCTGCAGTGAAACAATGAGCACAGTTCTACACAGGAGGTTAGAAAGAAAAGGTAAATTACTACAAAGGAATAAAAAGTCAAATAAATGCACTCAGAGGAGACTTTCCTCTTGGACGGATGGAGTCTCTGACCTGCTGCCACGGTGTATTATGCAATACACCCATGCTGTGTTCGTGGTAATGCTAAGTCATCAAGATAACTCACAAATGCCATTCCAATATGTAGACAAGATTTACCAAACTATTGTTTGTTGTATCTTAACAGTAATTCATTGAACTTTGTTTTCTGCAGTCCCTTATTTTGAAATTTTCTTTAAAAAAACCCAGCTGTTACAACCAAGAAGTGTACTGAAAAGTGGTTGAACAAAATGTCCTTACCAAGCACTGTTGACTTAATTGCTCTTGAGAAACCTGAGGAGCGGTTTCGTTCCAAAAAACTCATCATTACCGGATTTTAATCCCCAGTTAAATATAGCACGGGTTGCTTTAGAGGCGCTGCCTCCCGTGGCCTCCATTGTGGCGTTGGAGCATGTCTAATCTCTTACGTAACAACAGGGCATTCACCACTGTGTGGTTTCTCATTAGTAGTAATTCAATAGCAACACAACAAATCGTGCTCACAGAAAACATTACAAGCTTTGCTTTGTTCAGTCATTACACTTTGTACATGTTTTGCAGAAAATGACAAAAGGGCGTTTTTTTTGTTTAAGTCGAGGAACCTTGACTGACAATCCCACAGTTTGAACTCACACACAAATGGATTCCTAACAACTATCACATATTTGTTCGTGTTTATGAGCACTGTCAGGACAACTTGTGTCCTCATACTACTTTTCATTTGTACTAGCTGTTCCATTTGAATTATTTGCATTTCCCATGATACCACACACATCCAGGTTTGCATGCACATACACCAACATGCACAGGAACTGGGGCATTTATTATTATCTAGGCTCAGACAGGAGCAGATTAAGTTTACATTTTAATTAGATACTTACATTTTTTATTTGCTATTACTACAGATTAGACCAGAGGCATAAGAAGCTGTAGCTTTATTCATTCAAATATATATTCACTTACTCTGTATGCCCACTGTTCTACCAGATCTGTTGATACTGTTCTTTGTGATTAATGAGATTAGTTTCTAATACATTTAACCATATTTTACAAACCAATCTGAAAGCGAAGGCTTTTAAAAAAGTTTTGGAATTGTTGCCCCACTTTCCCTCTGTGTCTTGGGGCTATAGAGTACAGTAAGTATGGATTGAAAAGCCAGACATCAGAGCTAAAAATATCCCACTTCAAATGGCACAGCACATTTGGGGTGAAATGGAATTTAGCTGCCCAGTGACCCAATCATGATCATCAATAAATGTATCTATCAGACAAAAAAGGCACTGGCAGCCTATTGCAGTGAGACAGAAATGCAAAATAAAACACATTAAAAATAAACTTAATATGTGCTAGTTGCTGGTGAAATTGTAAAAAAGGGCAACACAGGCAAAGGGAGGACACAGGTTTGTCATTTGAACTGTGTTTATCCACTGTGTTCAGCAGATTGCTTGCTTTTCATCAGAGCTTTCTCAAGGTGAGAAGTCAGGGCAATGGCACCAGCTCTCAGCAGGACATTTACTGTGTGTCTGCTTTCAGAGCTGGCAAAGTCTTGTTAATTAATCTTAAATTAAAATGCCCTTCACAATAGAAACGTGTGCAGGTTCGCTGAGCTGTTTGAGTTAAGTTTACGAACAATTTGATGCCACATTCAGCAAGTTATACAAATAATCTGATTGAAATACTTGCCAAGTTAAGAATCCAAGTGAAGAAGTGAACACTTAAGACCAGTAGAGACATCAAGGGGCAAAAAAATTCATACAATATTTTAAAAAAACCAATGAGAAGATGGCTGAAGAAGTCATCCAAAGTGCATGCCAGACAGGCAATGATGTGTCAGTGCAATGATACAGTCATTTTTAGACTTTTGGCTCAGAGTAAGGCAGCAATGCTGACAGGGCACAAATTATCAGATTCAGCGGCTGGATCGCAAGCTGTCCACCAAGGTCAGAAAAGAAAAGTTTACATTTGTGGAACTTGTTAAAGACCTGATGTGTTTGAGCTGTCTGATCCATAATTTATAGGGAGTATAAGATATTCAGTGGCAGGCTGGCAGCACTTCAAAGCAAGCAGGCCTACAGTGGGAATGTCCAACATCATAAAGTGAATCTTCTCTATGTGAGCTCACAGTACCACACTGATAACAAAATACTTTTTTTGTTCATTCTGTCTGAAAAGTTACAAAAAAAATAAAATCCTAACATCAGCCCTCCAAACAGGTTTGCTGGGCTATTTCATTTCCCATAGTAAAAGTGTGTACAGTATGGGGTTACAAGGTAAGTTCAATACTTTTAACCCAAGATCATTAAAAGCTCACGTCACTCAAACTGATTATTACTACACTCTCAAACCTTTTTACATTTTAAGAGGAAGCATTATATGTCCCTCGAGGAAATGTGTGAAGAGGGAGTCTCCTCAATGGGCCCTTTCAAGTACTTCCTGGGGAAAGGCTGGACCACGTTGATACATTGTGACCCCTCACCGCACACTCGATCACTTAATGAGCGACTATGCTGATTTTTCTTTGGAAAGCAGAGAATTCTTCCCTTTAACACAAAGCTTGTCAGACAAATGGCCTGGTTAACATAGTTGGCAGGCCTGATTTTACAACTGATTATTAGTCTAGCTAATGAATGACCCACACTGGTTTTTTAAGGGTTTCCTAGAAGGTGACACAAAGCTCCACCGAAGTGAATTTCTTCCAACAATATTTAGTCTGAATTAAGTAGACACTGCAAATTAATTGGTCTTTTTTTTTAAAGCCAGTATGGAATTTGTAAAAAAAAAAATGACACTCAAAGGTGCTTGGAGGTTTTAGAGTTACAAAGAAAGAAATATCTGAGAAAGTAGACTGACCTTTGTAAATAAGGAAGAGTGATGATTCAAAATTATACAGACCCCCCCCCTCCATAACAATCAAAAGAAAAGTGTGCAATCAGTAATGGTGGCTATATTTCTCATTCAGAATCTAAATAAGAATAAGTTCAAATGTTATTACCTACAGTAACGATGTTGGAAATAAATGAATGGGATATGAAAATGATAGTTTATGGCCTCGTAATTATATATCCCATATCATAAGCCTTCCTGTGGAGGCAATCCAAACTACTTATTTTAATTAATATAATTTTTCCAGATTAAAAATGTGGTCAGCTCGCTGGGGGGCCTTGAGCCTTGAAAACATGATAGGGCTATTACACTCAGTAGTCTCTTGCTTTAATTGAACATCTCTTTCTTTATATAACAGGATCAGGCAGATGGTGTTTGGGTAACATGAGCCTTACATCATTTTCCTCCACTCTCTTCATGTTAGAATTGTCAGGACGTTGTTGGGGGGTATAACCATGCAGGTGCAATGATTAAATGCATGTTTAATCATTGCCCCACCACACAACTGCAATGCTTCATTTGCAAACGTTTGCATGCAGATAATCTATTGGTAGATGCTGGCTCTGTGACATCTTTGCATCCCAGGCAATCCAAAAAATTTAAATGCATTTTAAGTCCTTTTCCAGTTTTCTTTTCCTGAAAGACGGGCTACTTAGAAACACATGCTCAAGTATGTGCGCGATGCAGCTTTGCCGTAGGAGACTTGTAGGCAAACACTACGCATTGTGGTGGGCTGCAAACTGCAAACCCCCTGCACCATTAACGAGCCCTGCCAGCAGAGTTGGCGCTGTGCAAATGTTGGGAGTGTGTGTGTGTGTGTGTGTGTGTGCGCGCTGTAGCTGTGGCAGTGGTGTACAGTAGCATGGCAGACTGCAGTAAATACACAGTTGAAGAGGCGGGGTTTGACATCTCGGCTCTGAAAACATCTCTAATCCAGTATTTCAGGTGCCGAGCGGCTAGTGCTCACTACCGCCGCGCATCCGCGACCTGCTGCAGAACCGCACGCCCCTACCACTAACACGGAATATATCGCAAGTGGACGGAGACTGTCTGCTGTGTCCGAAGTGGGATTTCCGAAAGAGAGAGAAAAAGAAGCCGGACAAAAGACTGGGAGAGAGAGAGAGAGAGAGTGAAGTTTCAGCGGCGTGAAGACAACACTTTGTTTTTTAGTGTTTGAGTTTCCAGCGTCTGCCTCTGCCCTGAAGTAGATTTTAAACCAGCGACTCTTACGGCTTCACCCGAAACTCGACTAAAATACTTCACTTGTTCTCACTGGAGGATATTACCGCACCTTTTGGTTTATCTTTCTCCCTTAGGTGAGTGGCTCTTTGTGTGAGTTTGACACAAGTAGTTGTTCAAACTTTCCCCAGGTTTCTCTGTTTTTGCAGCAGTACGTGGGGCGGAAATGTAGCTTTACCTGGAACTCAGGTAAGTCGGAAACCAGGTAGGCCTAGCGTTAGCCGTCTCTACTCGGTCGTGTAGCTTTAGTTAACGTTAGCACACTTGTTAAGTTAAAACATGTTCACAACACCACAAGACTTATTTTATCTTTTATATTGACAGTTTATTAAGTTAATAGTTATTGTTGCTGTTGACAGCTGCCAATATATGTGTCGGTTTTTCATTAAATATTTAAACATGTCGCTAGCGTAACAAAAATGAGGCTTAAGTGACTATTCCTCTCGTATTAATGTTTTATTTGAACACACTGTGTCATTAGTCTATTAAAATATCTGTTTACTGGACCATAAACATGCTTTTCAGATAATTTTATAACGTATATCAGCTTCCCTCTATCTTTTTATAGTGTTGTGTCACCTCAGGATAAACAAGCACAGTCCAAGCGAACTGCCAAGTCTTCTGTTATGTTTCGGAGTGGACTGAGAGGTTTCATATTGCGTAATTTTTTTGCACACACAAAAAAAAGTATATATTTGGACAAAACATCCAGGAGTTTATAGGAGCTCTTTTACAGACCCCCATTCTGTGCACCCTGTGAACCGGGTTCACCCCCTTTTAATCCATTCATTCCCGTGATAAGACCCTGCAGACCCTCAGTCCCATAAGGCACAGTGATGATGAAGCAGTGAGATCACCAGCCCTGTACACATCATGCACACTTATCCTTTATGTTGACGGTTGTGAAACAGTTCCTTCAGGAGCTGGATGGTGATTTAAACATGGAGGCATGCTGAAGAACCAGTTTCGAGAGCAAGCCATCTGTCTCCTTTTTGTTTCCAGGCATGTCGAGCAAGAGTACTTGGAAGAGGTGTACTTTTATGAGCTGTTGTGTTCTTAATGTGCTGATCTGCTTTTGATAAAGATCCTGGCATGTGATTTTAAAATCCTGACCCATGGGTTTGCCACTTTACATTTAGTTTTAACTAGACCAAATGTACGTGTATATATATGTGTGTGTGTG